TTCAGATTATATATTTGATTGATTTTATAACTCTTCATATTCCTTATCCTATGTATGGTATGTTGTATTTTGGCGAACTCACAAACCTTTATGCTTACAGCCTTGTGGTTTAAACATTTTTAGGTACTTCCAGTTCTAAAGGGAAGGGCCCGGGTTGACTGCACAACATACCCTGATGGCTCTTTCCACACTGATTATTATTGTTCTACTCTGATGTTTGAAATATACATATTACTCTGATTGGCTTTCGAACAAATGGTTGTATGTCTTTGATGGTTAAAAATGAAAAAATTTATTTGTGTTTTTGGGACGTTACATAATCACGTTTCTGCACTGCTATAATATCTATCGGTATCATTGGTTGCCTCATGCATGCAAGTTGTACACAATAAAATATCAAATAGCCTGTCGAATAAATGACTCTAACCTAAGCCTACAACCAAACAAGGAACATGAAATAAGGCTAAATCAATCATTCTAAGGCTATATAATCCTAATCGTATACAACTATACATCCTACACTTAGCAATTAACATAACCAAGTAGCACATAACAAGTAATTCCCTAGAATATAAGGCATCTCTAATGTCAGGAAAATACTATCATATAGTTCCTGAAGGGATCCATAGCATATCCACTAGCATTCATTTCTAACAATTTACATATCAGCAAAGATCAAATTCAACATATAAAACCAGTGTGGATATGTTGGGAATCACTTTCTTGTTCCAGCTCCGACTGATTGTATACAACGCATCTTGTTGTAAAACCAAAGTCGATTCCGAGATCAATGTTCACGATCACATGCCAACAATCAAACAAGAACACGACAAGAGACCGATACCATGTCTCTAACGTAACCATTTTCTTAAAAAATCTTTTTCAAAATCATTTTGTGAAAATTTCCGGATCCTAGTTTAAGTTTAGATTCACACATGTGTTCCTCCAAATCTCTCAAACCATGGATCTGATACCAACATGTAACGTCCCATTTTTACAAACTAAATTTTCATTTTAAATTAAGGTAAAACACCATTTTCATAAAACCCCAAGTTAAGTGAGTTGCCTAAAATACTACACACCACAATATAAATACAATGCATGCACACATGAGCATTTAGTCTGTTTCGCCCACCTCGTAAGGCCGACAACGTACGTGTGCTGCTCTCCTTAGCCTACAGTTTAACTAGAACGCCTTGGAAGTCCTACATAACACCTGGACCACTCTCCCACAACATACAGCTGTTCCAGACATAGCCTACTACACCGCTAGCCTGCATGAGTATCTTGGCCTCCAACACAAAGTAGGACCGCCTAAACCTACCACATAATATGTCGACATATGTAGAAAACAAGAAATCAAGAAAAAAAAATACACACAGACAACTATCTACACTAGTCTACCTATCTAACAGCTCACTATCGAGTACCAAGCCTCATACAATACTCTATGATACTATTGGTAGATCTCTAAGGAATGCATATCCATATGTAATTAGATGTGAGATGGACATTCGAACAGGTCATCCCACTCTAGATCCATAATAAAATAAGGAACAAACAAGAAAGCCTAGATCTAGAGTTCGCAGGCTATCCTACATGACCACAAACAACCCCTATGGCACTCCACTAGACGATTACCCACCTGCTCGTACTCTACCCACCATACCATTACTCCTACATATATCCTGACATACAAGGATATACATTGTAACACATAGTATAGTGAGTAAACTCAACTTAAATGTAGAACCAGTTAACACTGCAAGACTCTCAAATCCTCGCACTGGACAATCCCAAGAACCAACGATCACCCATTCAAAAAACACACCTTGATAAACAACCCAAAACCTATAGCTTAAACCCAAGGTCAAATTGGTCAAAAGTCAATGGTCAACGATCAACAAAAGTCAATGGTCAACAAGTCAATCACTCCCACATTATGACAACCTCTTGGCCACATTGTGGCCAGCTAATGACTAACCAATCAAGCATTTGAGGACCTCCATGTCGTGGCAAGCCCTTGGTATGGTGGTTTCTGGTAGAATGCAAAATTTTTCATTAAGTGCTTAATCCTTACTGATCTACTTCTTTTTAATGACTAAATGGATAAAGTTTCCAACTTTATCCATCAGGACTCCATTCTAAGGCTAGATCTACAATCCTAAGTCCATTATGTCCTTAATGTGGCCAAAACTTATACATTGACACAAGGTGACTCCAACATGGTTTCTTTTTCCCGTTCTATATAACATATTGACCATAGAGGAGCCATACCAAGCTCTAGATTTCCTCAAACTCCAAGAGCATCCATGGTATCGGAAAAAAAATCACCTAAATATGACCCCAAACTTGAATCTAGAAGAATAAGTGCCTATATATGAAGTTTATACCTTCAACAACTCAGAAATATGAAGAGAATGTTGGATTCAAACTTGCTCTATGTTCCCTTGCACCAAGATGAACCTCTCATTTCCCCAAGCTTCAACAAAATCCAAAGAATACGTTGTACATCAAGAAATCAAGCATATAGGCTAGGGTTTCATGCGGAAGGGTTGGAGGCTGAAGAGGATGCCCTAAACCTTGAATTTTGTTTCTTAAATATGGAAGAAACCCTAAAATCATGGGCTTGGGCTTCAACAGCTCCTACGTTGTGGCACCGCTCCTTTCCACGTCGTGTCGACCATTAGATGCGTGAACCATGCATTAGCCATACGATGTCGTGGTAACCCATTCACCATGTCATGGCATAGGGCTTTTCCCAAAACCATACTTTTAATCCCTCAAGCCCTCGATCGATTTATGCTGGAAAACAGATGTTACACTTTATCTCGTCTAGGATATGAACATGTATTACATGATTATTTGTTTAAGACTGGTTCAATTGTCATTTTCTCTTTGGATATATATATATATATATATATATATATATATATATATATATATATACACACACACACACACACACACATACACACTTTGTATATCTTATAATTTTTCAGGTTATGGCCTTTGTTTGAATCTTGTTGCTTTACACCATGGCTAACCTTACGATAGGCGGAGGATATGGGGGTGAAGGACATAAGGATCCACCATTTCCAGATTGTGGAGATTGTGGTCAGGATGAACAGGATGGTAAGTCTTGTTATGATTTATTATTTACATTGTTTGTTCAATTATTATAAACTATCGTTACTAATAATTTTATTTATATTTAGAGTTATTCCACAGAAGACAACTAGAGGAAAAGCTAAGCGTTGGACGAGCTCATATAGTAGTGTTTGTTATAAAAATATAACTTACGATATATGTAATTATTGTTAGTTTGTTGGTTTGTTAGTTTAACTTATAAGGTAATTAAATTGTTTGTTGGCTTGGTAATTGATAATTGGCAGTTTACTTATATTTTGGTCATTATTAGTTTGATCGTAGCTAGTTTGTTAGTTTGGTTTATGTTGGTAATTTGTAGTTTGTTTATACTTTCGTAGCTAGTTTGTTAGTTTGGTTTATGTTGGTAATTTGTAGTTTGTTTATACTTTCGTAATTGTTTGTTTGTTAGTTTGGTAGTTTTTGTTTATGTTGATAGTTTAACATATAAGTTTATTTATGTTGTTATTTATTATGCAATTGGATAATCTTCGAGCAGTGCTCAACGACCTAGAGTGTAGTGCGGAGCTACATGCATTTTTTCATTCTTGAAAATCACCAAGTGATACGGGACGAAGCAAGGGGAACCAAGATGACACTGAGGGAAAAGAGGGGAACCAGGATGTTGACATGTCCAATTAGTTTGTACTTTGATAGACTTTATATACCATAACTTTATAACACTTTTGGTACTTAGTGGCGACATCTTTCTTTAGTTGCGATTCTTTGAACAACAGTGACAGAGCAGCAGCGGCGACACAATAGAGGAAATTTATCTAGGCAATTACCTTTATGGGCGATTTTTGTTGGCCTTTGCCGCGTTTTCTGTCGCTGCTTATGATCGTTCTTTTGTAACCGCAACAAAGAAAAAACAAAGCTCTATCTTTTAACAAACTTAAATAAAGTGGTTTACATAACTAAAAAGACAAATATGAGTTAGAATATACGCCAAAAGAAATTATTTAAGGGTAAACTTAGAGGAAAACACATAGATGATCATTCACTTCATGATGGTGATGCTCTTGTTGGTTTGCCTGCTAGCTTTTGGACGTTTAGTGATCTGACATTAAACGTGTAGTTTATTTAGATATAAAGCTCTTGTTCCTCCGACTTCAGGTGCTATTATGATATTATCTCCTTTGGATATTTTAGGGCAGAGGCTCTTTTTCACTTATTGTTTCTTTTTCTCCTTTTCCTTGTCTTTTCCTCTTTTACATCCCACTGTGAGCGCTTTATTTAATTTTCCTTTTCTAATAAAACAGAACGCATACATATAAGATTTAATGAATGGAGAACTTAGATTTGCGGAAGACATGCCTTCTAGTGATCATTGGGCAATTTTTGAGCTATAACCATATGCTGAATGTGAGAGAAATAGACGTCATTTTCGGTTTATTTTTATGCATATCAGACATTATATATATATTTGTAGTGCCCTAATAAAGGATCCATTGGAAAAATGAAGAGTTATTGATTCCTATATTTACCTTTTGGAGTAAAAGTTAGGCAATCCTTTATGCTAGTACTCTGGCCAGGTGTTATCATGGGAAATTTTAGTTAGTATAGTCCTCAGTGAGTGGATAGTGAGAATCTCTCTCTCTCTCTCTCTCTCTCTCTCTCTCTCTCTCTCTCTCTCTCTCCTCTCTCTCTCTCTCTCTCCTCTCTCTCTCTCTCTCTTCTCTCTCTCTCTCTCTCTCTCTCTCCTTGTTTTATTCTTTTTTAGTGTGATAGGTCTTGGATTAGTACAACAACTAAATTAAGCTCTCAAAGGTCCATTCTAGATCTATCATACGTACAGTCAACATATCTAATATATATGTAGTTATCTCTCTGGAAAGTAGACTTATAAGGAGATGTATCCTTCCTCCTACAGCAATCGGGACACCTCTTTCTCAAGTAGTAACTACCCAAAGAATTCTTTCAGCAACTTTAATCTTCAAAATCAATCAAAATTACCCTCTCAAGATTATTACCAGCCTGCATCCTCTTCCTCACATAACTTGTATGGCCCTCATTACATACCTTTAGAAAACGAACCTGAGATTTTCCAACAACAACAACGACCCTTCTATAGTGATCATAACTATCAGGACACTGTCATTGTAGCTCATGAACACTCAACTCGGAAGACTAGTAATCTGCAGTACACCATGGAAAAGCCAACCTACAACAACGGAAGATATGCTACAGCTGCTGGCAACGATCACCTTATCAGTCATGTAATTAATCAGAATAACTCTTTAATGGGCAAGAAAGCTTCCAAGAAAGACCGTCACAGCAAGATAAACACAGCTCAAGGCCCCAGGGACCGAAGGATGAGATTGTCTCTTGACGTAGCAAAGAGGTTCTTCAGGTTGCAAGATATGCTTGGGTTCGATAAGGCCAGCAATACTGTCGACTGGCTGCTCATGAAATCAAAACCCGCTATTCAAGATCTACTCCCCCAGCAGTTAGACCGTACTTGCAGTCTCATTGGTCTATCAAACAGCGGATCTTCTGCATCAGAATGTGAAGTTATGTCTGGAATTGATGATCAATCTATGGAGAAAATTAGGGAAGAGAAGGTGATTATAGTAGGTAACGCAAAATCTACTTCCTCTAGCAGTAACAAAGAGAAGAAAAAGCTTGATAGAGGAGTTAGGAAAAGTGCGTATGTTCACCACTCTCTTGCTAAAGAAACTAGGGAGCAAGCAAGAGCAAGGGCAAGGAAGAGGACAACTGAAAAGAGAAATAACAAGATTGGTGGGGGTGATGTTGGTGGTTCTGGCTCTGATCAGTATTCTAAATTTAGACCACATTTCGATCAGGTGATGAATCAAAATGTAAATCGATTAGGGACTTGGATTCCCTTTGGAGAAATCCAATCTCAAACAACTGATCAAGCGGAATATCCAAATTCCCATTTTCAATTTAAGCAAGGGATTGTTGGTGATAAATCGTCAGCGATGCCAAACAGTTGGAGCCCATCTTTCTTGTTTAATTATCAGCATAATCCTGGACCTTCTTATGAGGTAAAATATTTTATTTTCAGTTCATATATTCCCTAAATAACTGACAATTAATCAAGAGTAGGTCACTCATAAAATGGCATTCAAAAATTAATGATGCATATCATTGGTTGGTATGCTCCGGAAATAATTGTACATAATCAAATATATTTATTTTGTTTGTAGCATCATTTCAGTGACTTTCCGATTCTTGGTAAGCCATGGGAAAGCAACGAGAATTAGGTCAGTGTTACGTCTTCATGCTACTATAAGATTTTCTCCCTGGATTTCCATTGTGTTGCACTATATAGTAAAAGTTATTGTAGATATTATGTTGATGTGTAGATGATTCACGTCTATTTAGAAGTATTTATTGTTAGGCTTAACAGCTCTTTCTTTTCGTAATCAATATAGTGAGGATACTAGTTTCATATCATCTATTCTTTTTTGTTTTCGAATGACCCATGTTCCTTGAATTGGATGATCAGGAATTTGTGATCATTCAATTCTAGACAAACCTAAATGATATTAACATCCACTGATATTATTTCTATACATAACTTTTATTTAACAGCTCCATAGATGGCTAATTGATTCGATTCTTCACTATGCTTTTCATATTTTGTTTCGTTTTTCAACAAATAAAAAACTTTTACATCAAATACTTTGCATTTTTTTACAGGCCTCGTGAAGTTGTTGAAGGGTGAGCCAAGTTCTTCCTCTTTGCAAGATATTCGGTTTTCTTGTTTCCAGTCTTATTTAGGATCAGGAAACATATCTTTTGTTGGTAGTTTCCCGGTCTTCGCTTTTAGGATAGTTTCTTATTTTATAAATATACGTATAGTTTAGTCATTCTAATCATCCTAAATCTCTCCCTCTAATCGATTTTAATAATAATACAAATGTAGTGTCTTGTGGTTCTTTCCCATATGAACTTCCATACTAAATTATATGCTCTTGGTTGTTCTAGTTCTTTTTTGTTATTCATCATAATTATAACAAGTAGTATGACGTCCATCTTTCCGAAACATGTCAAACCTAATAGAATTTATAGCTAGATATGCCAAGGTCTTAATCGAATTTATCCCAAAACATGCCAAGGTTTTAATCGATTTTTCCTAATAAATATTACAGACAATTGAATGATTTTTTTCTGGACATGCAAATGGCTTAATCAATTTTATCATTATACGTGCAAAGTGCTGGTAATTTATTAATCAAAACATAAAATACAGAAGCTTGCATTTTATCTTGATCTCGAATCTATTTAAAAGAAACTAAACACGTGATCTTACATCTCTCTCGAATATATATATATATATATATATATATATATATATATATTATATATATATATATATATATATATATATAGATAGTTAGGTTCTAACTATTCTAACTAATTATAAAATGAGTCAATAATGTCAAAACTTAAATAAGCTAAATTTTTAATGTTTTCTAATGATTAATTTTAGTAATTAAATAAATACTTAATTAATCCCTTTAATTTAGGCAAGATAGTTTAAAAATTAATTAAAGAAAGTAAATTTTTAATGTTGTCTATTAATTAATTTTAGTAATCAAATGTATTTGTTCAATAATTGTATATATTTAAGAATGTTATTTAGACTATTATTCTGTAAGAATATGTATGAATCTCTATATTTGCATTACAATGTTTGAATATATAAGGATCATGTTATATTTCAACTGAATGTTCAAGAATGTTTCTTTTCTACAAGAAGTTACTTCAATCAAAATATGTGCTCTATCAGAATATATTCTGGCATTTTCATAGAATATCGTTCTAACAGAATTGCATTCTAAAATAATAAAATCGAGTAAATTTAAAAATTATGTTAGAATTAAAAATGAATTATTTAAAACAAATCAGAATTCAAAATTAAAAGAATCAATATCCCTTAAAATCTGAAATTTTCATTAATTAAACATGTGTTTCCTAATTTAAACATGTGTCTCCTAATTTAAAGATAGGTAAATCATTACTTAAAATAACTAAAATCATTGGTCTACATTCGTCTCTACATCTACACAATAATTAATTAGAATACCCTAACCTAAGATATATATATATTATATATTATATATATATAATATATATATATATATATATATATATATATATATATATATAGAGAGAGAGAGAGAGTGTGTGTGAGAGAGACGAGATCAGTGACGGACTCCATTAAAGGAGAGAACCAACGAACTAACTAATAGCCTTACGATCTTATTTAACTAAATTAGGATAAAACGAAATTGAATTCAATGGGAGATTTGAATCGCTCAGTTAAATATATCTTGTTTTAGTTATTAGTACCTCAAATTACAACAAATTAAATATAAATTTAATTCGATATTTGATGAAAGAAAGCTATTCTTCAGTTAAATGCATAGTCAATCGCAGTTCAAAATTAAGATAAACGGGGCTGAATTCGCTGAAAGATTTGATTCGAACAAATTAATAATTGTTAATTTCATTTAATCGTACTTCGAATTAAAATAATTGATAGTGAATTTAGTTGGATGTATGAATTTTGTATAAAACGGGAAAAGTCTAAATTTAACTAGAATGATTTCGAATGAAATGCATAATACAGATGAAATTCGACATATATAATCACAATTTGACGTATAATCAAGTTGATAAGAGTTATATAGTTTGCAAAAGACTAATTAGCAACATATTTGAAATGAAATTTGAGTCTATAAGATAAACCATGCATCTGCTAAATGCATAGTTATAGTAACCAATGTATTTATGAAAAACTATATGTAAAAATAATTTAAAAAAACTGAAGGTTAAAAATTAATACAATTACTTCATTTAATTTGATTTTAAAATACCATCGGATGCTTTAAGATTTTAGTTTATACATTAAATGTAAAAGCGTTCGATGTATGTATCATAGTTACTTTACTAAGGGGCTGTTTGTTAACATCTTTATTATTCATATCTGTATGATGCAGAGGACTGGATGATATAGAGGCTCTGTATGAATCTGTATCTGAATGATTAATTGATGTTTGGTTAAACATCTGAATGCCTGTCTCTGAATGGTAAAAATGACCATTTTAACCCTCTGAACTATTTGTTACTGTTTGGTTGGACATCTGAATGACTGTGCTGAATGATACTGAATTGGTAAGTAATTATAAATAAAATACAAAATGTCATCCGTCGGAAGAAATAACCAAACTTTTCTAAGATCGGCACTTTCACCAAAAAGCAAAACAGCCGTTTGGTATCTTGGATCAGATATTCCCCATTCCATTTTCACCAACTTTTCCATACATGAAGCCATATCATGCTCTTTATGTTTCTCCACTAACATCCTTGCAACTTTGCTAATTTCATCACCACCTTCAATGATCTTGGCATTAATTGTTGCTTTTCCTTTTCCTTTACCGCCTTGGTTTTTGGAAACATTAGAGGTTCCTTCATTTGGACTTTCGGGTGAAGTCATACTTTCCATGTGAGTTACATTGATACCATCAAAGTCACTTAAATTAATGCCCGAAGAGTCATGAGAAGGGTAAGGAAGTGTAGAAGATGGCCCCCATCCATGAATGCCAGTCGCAGCCGACCCATCGAACAACTGAACACAAAGATCAGGGTACACTAGTGGAGAAGTTCTCAATGTTTCTACCATTTTGTTCAACTGCTTGAAAATATTATAAATATTATGAAATATTATAAAATATTATGATATATTACTTCTTATCAAAAATCACAATACCTTGATCTCTAGTTGCCATTCGTCTTCTTCCATGTTAAACGTGTTAGTTATAGGGTTATAAACGTTGCCTGTTTTGTTTTTTAATTTCAACCAAGCACCAAACTTTGCTTTTAGGTAGTCGTATCTGTTTTTCATCTGCTTTTGATCAACTACAAAATTGTATTCTGTTTTCAATCTTTCAGCTACATTCTTCCATGAGCTTGCTTTTAAACTACTCCCTTCACGTTCGTAAGTTGTAATTTCATGAATACAAGCTTCAAGGAATGTTTTTTCCACACCTTCTATTTGTTTCCAATTAACTCTAGGCCTCTTTTGTGCCATTGCCATGTCTAATATTCGAAATCCAGCAATGACATATTTCAGCAACAAAACTAGTTAACTACCACAAGTAGACCAACAACATAACAGAAAAATTAAACAAAAAAACAACATATTTCAACAACATATAGAAGAAAAATCACAGCAAGAAGATATAAGATTTCAGCAACATCTATTCTTATTATCCCTAATTTGTTTTCATCAAATTTTTGGACATTTCAGCAACATAATACATCAGTTCAAAGCATATATAGCAGCAAAATCAGCAAGAATAAAGATCAAAAACAAACAACCCCAATATTCAAACAAAAAAACGCAATCCAACAATCCAGCAACAAAAACGCAACAAAAAACATACATAAAACTGAGAAATCGGTGGTTGAAGCTTGATGGAGAGAACAACAAGAACATAGATAAAACCCAGCACCAAAATCGAGCATAAAGAATTCGAGTATCACTTACAAGCATGAAGGTGAAGGTGAGGAAGCCGGAGGAGACGAAGCCGGAGGTGTAGAGGCACCGCCAGAGATCGATGAAGGGAAAACTCAACACAGCAGCTCATTGGAGAAGAAGGGTGAAAGAAAAGAAGAAGCGGCGTTTTTCTTTTAGTGCAAGGGTATAAATGGGAATGTTTTCATCCAGATCTCTCACCAAGTCTGGCCGATTAAGGGCTTTTTTTTTACCTCTTACCGAATAAGTGGTTAAAATGGCTTCAACCAAACGCTCTGAATCTGAACGATTCAGAGCCTCCCTCTTTATAAGACCATTAAGTGGCTAAACAAACAGCCCCTAACTTGTTAGTAAAATGGATTGTTATGAGTCTAGTTATGATGCGATTTGTGACTTTGTAATAATTCGGATAATTTTAGGAAAAGTTAGTTGGTTGTAATTTTAATTTTGTTGGGTCATATATCACATGGACAATTTTACCCCTAGAATCATCTTTTGTCCTATATTGGTAGTTTGGTGTAATTGTGATATGGATTGTAGGTTTATGAGTATTATTGAGTCCTATAATAGATTAGTTATCTAAGATTTTGGATTAACGTGATAATTTAGTTTGGTATGGTCGTTATTACCCCTTAAACTCTCCTGGTCAAGCATTGTTCCAATATTGTGTATTATACTACTTATGATGTTGGTTATTGGGAAATGAGTAATACTTGTGATGTTGTCTGAAACCAAGTATCTCTTAAATAGTTTTTTCATTCTATCATTGTATCTCGTCATATCATTTTTGTTTTATTGTTTAGCAATCTGTCATTTTGTCTTAGAATTAGTTTATCATATTATCACTATATCTCATAAGCGTAAGTTTGTTCTATTGATTAGCAATCTGTCATTGCATGATTTCTATCTCAGTCGTATCATAGAATTAGTTTATCATTCTCTAAATACTTATATATCATTCTATACTTTTTTTTGTCATTTACGTTGCTTTTGGATGATATTTTGATATCAAAAAACCCATTAAACTGAACCGAAAAAACCGACTGATTAACACCTTAAAATCTAGTTTTCGCAAATTGAAAAGTTGAACGAA